TTAATTCATAAAGTTCACCAATCAGTATGCCAATTGACTATTTGAAATCGCTTCCACGCTGCCCTTGACAACACCAGCTGCAGCTCTGGAAATGCTCTAGAAACTAAAATGCGAGGAATTTGAGACAATATTTAAACTTTTGTATAATACAGGGTATGTCCGGAAAGTTATAGGACTGATTTTTTTCCGCCACGACTGTACCTCGGAATGTGYGCACAAAGRCTGGAYGCGGTAGAGGGYCTTCCTAGCTAACGAACGAGCGGGTGGGCAGTTGTCTCCGAGCATCTGKAGAGTCAGGGAACACATTTTCGCRCGACATRTTTMTGTGAGTGGTGCAAGCCGAAAATGCAGCGCTCGTTAGAGCAGAGGTACCCGATTAAATTCCGTGTAAAACTCCATAACCTTTTTGGAGGGGCGGGAAGAGGTGGCTGATGAGGACCGTGCTGGAAGACCTGTGACTTCGACAAACACCGACAATGTGACTCGTGTGCGCAAAGCTTTGAACTCAGAGTGTCGAATAATTATTCGTTTAATTGCCCAGATGTTAAATTTATCAAAATCGATGATTCATGACATTGTGGCGGAGCACTTGAACATGTGCAAGTTGTGCGTGAAGATGGTCCCAAAAGTGCTCCCTGACAACCAGAAATTGTGGCTAGTGAAATTGTGCCAAGAAAATTGTACCATGTGTTAAAGTGACATCCGATTTTTTAATAACGTAATCACACGTGATCTTTGAGTATGACGCCTTCAATGCTCAGAAATCGCGATGTATCGACGCAGAAGGAGCTGGTTTGAAATATTTTGAAGAATTGTAACGATTGGTTGAATAAATTTTTGGAAATCGACTCAGACCTATTATTTTCCGGACAAACCCTGTATTTTCAATTTACAGAAGCAGTTTGTTTTAAGGATGAGGATTAAGTAACTGGGGCGATTGAGGACGTATTATATGGTAGTACATATTTACCTAAAAAGATGTCTTTCAATTTGATTTTTATACCCTGAACAGGGTAAATTAAGTTTGTCACGAAGTTTGTAACACCCAGAAGGAAGGRTCTGAGATCCTATAAAGTATATATATATAAATGATCAGTATGTCGAGCTAAGTCGATTTAGCCACGTCCGTCTGTTCTGTCCGTCTGTCTGTCTGTATATATACAAACTAGTACCTCAGTTTTTAAGATATCGCTTYGAAATTTTGCAAACGTCATTTTCTCTTCTCTCATTTTTCGGAAGTGCCGATATCGGACCACTATAACATATCGCTGCCATACAAACTGAACGATCGGAATCAAGTTCTTGTATSGAATACTTTCKCATTTGACGTGGTRTCTTCACGAAATTTGACATGGATTACTGCTTAAGGTAACAATATAATCTCCGAAAAAAATTTTCARCTCGKATTACTATAGCATATAGCTTCCATACAAACTGAACRCATAATTACTAACAGAAATGCACCTGTGAAGGGTATCTAGCTTCGGGGCAACCGAAGTTAACGTTTTTTCTTGTTCATTATATTTTTTGTAGACTCTTTCACCAAGCGAACCAATGTACTACACGAACTGATACAGCATCGTCTCCGTAAAATTCACAAATTTCATTGGTGCCTTGCGAAGTTCTTCATTATTTTCACTCATTTTTTAACAGCACTAACTTTYCTTCAACTTACCCGAATTTAAATTTTGTTTTAATTAAATGAAGCTTAAAATAGTAATTAGTCAAAGTTACTTTAAATAATATTTGGTTTTTGTGAAAATCATTAGTTTCCGTTACGTTTTTGTTTTCTTGCTTAATAAGTTTTAGGCAGTTGAAAGGGGTTTGAAAATCACTCACTTCATAAAGAAACGAGAGTCCTACCCCTATACTACATAAACATTAGTAGGTACAGTACGAGAAAAATTGTAATTTATCTAACATGCCTCTTCCGAATCTAAGCAGTACAATCCAATTCGAAAGATGTATTAAAATTGTCGTCATTAGCAAAAAGAGCTTAAGTWGAATTAGTCACTTTGGAGGAAATATAATCAAGTTCTTCTGGCTCTACGAAAGACGAAGTTCACTTAAAGGGATAACTGTGTAAGATGAGAAGAAACTACGTTCAAAGTTGACGTATCATGGCATATGAGCATAAATTATATCATAGATTAATGTGTCGTAGATTACTTAAAACAAGTAATCACCGGCGTTAATAAAGTCACATAGTGTAAGCTTCGTTCACTTCTCTGTTCGCCATGTTCTCTGCTCTGCTCGTTTGATAATTCCATTGAGGGCTCATTGCACACCATCTCTTTATATTCTGTTTCTATTCTATTTTGCAATTCTATTCTATTTGTGCAATTTGCCATTCTCCAACCGCAGATTATATACATATGTATACATATATATGTACATATGGTAGATAAAATATTGAGTTGGAGATGCGCTCTGTTGGCTTTAATACAAAAAAACAAAAAAAAACACACGCATATATGGTGCTACCCCAAAACACCGAATAAAAATGAGAGCCAAAAAGACCGGCATTTATAGCCCGCGTTAATYTCAATGTCAACGACAACAACTGCTCACACATACATATCTACACATATGCATGGGCAGGTAGTATAATTTATTGCAAATATATGTACATACAAACATATGTACATACAAAACATACAAACAAGCTTTAAGGGGCCAGTAGGGTAATCTTTTTTCAAAATCTGTTCCCTTATTACCTTAGAATTAATGTAGAAACCCACTTTACCATTGGAAGATTTCGGGAAATACCCGAAGATAATAATACCGCTCKACGTTCGGAGCACGGAGTGCACCCCTAGCGCTTTAAATGTGTTTTTCTCCAAACACACATTTTTAAACTGGCGGACATGATGCCGGTCGAACTACTCAACCGATTTGCTTAATTTTTTTTTTTTAATGTTCACAAAACGCCTGGCCCCTACTAGGTTCATAATTTTTTATAATTTACTGACAATGTTATGACAAAATTTATGCAAAA